CATTATTTGATTTTGTATAAAGTTAGATGTGTCTCTTTATCATTAAAGTTACAATGCCATTTTTTGGGGTGATCTTATCTTGCAAGCTTTCCTGTGGGAATACTGAAATCTAATGAGATTAGATATTCTTGCAAGGGCTTGGTTGGCCATATACAAATATTTAGCTTTTTGTGGTTACTATTGAGCAGCATCTTGGAGGTGGTACTGCCAACCTCGCACTCTGGAAAATCTACTTTGATTGACTTGACCTGACCATCTGGTTCAACGTCTTTCCAAGAGAAACCAAAGTAATATTGAGATAGCAGTACAATTTATCCATCTCCTCACAGTGCAGTTTCTCCCAGCATTGCTTGTGATGGGTAGGAGATATTTCCCAGTGGGCTGTATTTTTACCTATGATCCTCATTGCCAGATTGTATCTGAGAAAGGACTTGGTGGGAAGGGTTCGAAACATCCATGCCTTTCTTCACAAAGAAGGGTAGGTTGAGATCGGTTGGTCTTTGCATTACTCTACCCTCCCTGCTGCTGAATTGGAAAGCCTCCTGCTGTTCCTTTTGGGCAATGGGTTATCTAACAATGTCCAAATCCTTACAGATGGTGTTGACAGAACCTCAACTATCTAGAAGATGGAAGAATCTGCAGTGACAACGCTGGCCGTGAGAAAATTTGGCTGCTGGACCAGTGGTAGATTTCATGATGAGTCCCTTGTCATGCTAAGGATCCCTGGAGATACATTGCATCCTTTCATTGCTGTTTCCTTCTGTTCTTCTCTCTGCCTTCTCTCTCTTCTCCATCTCTGTTTCCTTTGTGAAGGGCTGCTTATCTTAATGGTTATGCCAGAAGCAACACAGCAATTGTGTCATCAGAGATAGCACATGCACACACAAAAACAACTTGGAGCAAGCAAAACAAGTTGGGGGACTTCACCTAAGGGCTGGCATCCCGGTGCATGTCTTAAAAGTATCTAAGGGCAGGCATCTTAATAGCAAGGGAATAGGCAGGAGGTCTCCAGTGGAAATGGGGGTGAGTGGGGTGGGTGTTTGATGCAAGTGTTCTATATGAAGAAGGAGACCTTTAAGTATATTATTGACGCATGGTCAAGAAGAAGGGAATTGCACATTGTTTGTCTGTAAATATGAGCTGTATTTCACTGACATTCAAACCACAATGGGAGCTATGGTTTCATTGAGTGGGATAGAAAGGAAACTCAAAAGGCCAATTGGTTTTGCCTCAGTTACATTCAAAAAAACTAGCTTTGAATCCTGAGCATTGTTTACATATGAAGGCGGATAGAAAAAAGCATGTTGCACGTGCTTCAAACTCCACCTTCCTTCTTCTGCAGAGAAACAATGGGGTAAAGCCAGCCTAGTTTCCAAACTTGACCTGGAGAGCCATCGTGCATGGATGGCCAATATCCCTGCTGCTCTGGGAAACTACCAGTGCCCCAGTCCCAATTGCCAAATTCCTGTATGAGATTGTATGTATGTGGTGCAGATAAAATCTCTTGAGACATCCAGTGGCTGGGATAAGGGCACCCCCAGAAGGAAGGGATACCAGCAGCTTTGGCTAGAATCAAGTCAAATCCTTCTGATCTTGGAGGAGCCAGGGATTCCCACTTTCCTTCTCATCTTGCCATTAATAATAGATCTTTTGCATGGTAACTGTGTGTGTGTGTGCGCGCGTGCGTGTGTGTGTATATTTCTTTTTTTCTTTTTGGCGTCATAGCAGGTTTTGCCTTTTTAAAGAATGTCAAAAGTTTCTAGAGAATTTCAGGCACTTATAACATTTTTGTTGACTTTCCAAGCTGGGCCAGAGCAGGATGCCAAAGAAATGCTGTAGAGCAGAAAGAAGAAAGGTTGAATAGAGAGTCCTGTTCCTTTGATTTTGCAAAGAGAGAGAGAGAGGGAGAGAGAGAGAATGAATGAATGAATGAATGAATGAATGAATGAATGAATGAATGAATGAATGAATGAATGAATGACTTTTAAAGATGCTTCATTGAGGTTTGGCACTAGAACATTGGGATGCTCAAGAATAGCTTTATGAAAGTTAGTATCATTATACAGAACAGTCTTTTCTCTGAAAAAGAAGAGGCATATACCATATACACCATGGAGATTTCTTCTTGATCTTGGTTTGGTTTGGTAGCATTTGGAATTCGGAAGTTAGGGAAGCAAATTTACAACATCTGTTCCACCCCTAACTCTACCCCTGTTCCAAAGTATTATCTAGACAACAACTAAGAAACAATTAGCAAAACAGCATTATAATTGCAGCCTCATAACAGTGGTGTTGTAATCCAAAGATGAATAACAGTGGGCACCAGCTGCAATTGCTTCCAGGCCCCTTCCAAACATCCCTACAGGCTGATTTGACCCTAGGTAGAATTAAAGGGAAAAATGAGGTGCCGTAAGCCTCTTACACTTTAACACTTTAAATCTGCCAATAACCAGCAAGGCCAAAATGCTGAGGACTTGAGTTATGCTCACGAACAGAGAACCCTCATGCTGGTCTCTGCTTTAACCCACGTTTTTCCACTTCTATACTAATTATGTGCCAAGAAGAAGAGACTGCTTTTAAACAGATATATGTGCAGATATGAAAATGCAATATGTACCGGTGCATCACCTACCAGATAATAGCAAGTGATAAGATGTCCCTTAGAAATCAGTATTTCACTTTACCATTTCTGATCATAACAATGCAGAAATAATTGATGCTTCAGCTCTATGGTAACTGTTCAATCCATTGAATAACAAAATTACATTTTGGTATAACTTCCTGACCCTCCTGTGGAAGAAAAATAACTGTGCATCTTCTTACTCAAAGATGCATTCTTAATTCTTGTGTGTGTGTGTGTGTGTGTGTGTGTGTGTGTGAGAGAGAGAGAGAGAGAGAGAGAGAGAGAGAGAGAGAGAGAGAGAGAGAGAGAGAGAGAGAGAGAGAAAGATTGTGTGTGAGAGAGAGAGTGCCAAGCAACGAACTGTATATAGTGAATAATAATCCAGTTTGAAACTGGTTGCATTACCATGGCTTCTTGCATTAGGAATTGTAGTTTTGTGAAGGGGCTGAAGATTTGTCATGATGAAGCCTATGCTACAGATTTAAATTGCTTTGAAACTACTGCTAAATAGGAATACTTCCCCCTTCCCAGTTGTGTGAAAATCCTGAGCTTTCCGTGGTTCTTTAATTTCAATTTCAATACAGAGGCAAATTTCCCAGAGTGCAGCCAGCATGAAAGTGGACATGCCTAAAATATGATGCAGTCAGGCCTATTTCAGTAAGTCTGTAGTGCAAATTACGGGGGGGGGGAGGTTTCCCTCCCCCAAACATGGAATCCATTTTTGATAGTAGACATTTTTTTCACTAATCAAACTTAACATAGTGCCAAACATTTGCTGCTGTGCTGCTTTTGGGTTAGAAAAGGGAAGAAACTAAAGGACTGCTTTTCAAACTCTGTTACTGTTTTATTTTATTTTTTTAATCGAGGCTATAAATGGAAGAGAGATCCTAATGGGTTTCAGATAGTAGTATTTTAAAGAATTAAAACAGATATTTCTGAACAAAAAGTGCCAAAATACACTTTGTTTTGTTTTGTTTCATGTTTACCAGAATGCCTGTTAACAAAGAAAGGAAACATAGTTTTATGTTTAGTGAAGAAGGAGTGCAGTGTTAGAGGCAAAGATTTTAGAAAGTGATTTTTTAAGGCACCTGAGAAAAGACATAATCTGCTAGGCTAGTTTTAGACAGAGGTTGTTTTTTCCAATTGATGGGTTCACATGCTTGTTCATTGCTGTAGATCAGCTTTTTCCAACTGTGGATCCATTGCAAATTCCCAGCTAGTATGGTATATGGCCATAGCAGTGAGAAATTTTGGGAATTGTAGTACAACATATCTGGAAGAGACCAGGTTAGGTGCGGCTGCTGTGTAAAATAAGCTGATTGGTTGCGGTAGGATAATCGTCAGGAATACAGGTGGAATGGTATAGAAAATAGTTTGGATGTAGAAACTGAGGGGACAGTTCTGTAGACTTGAGTATTTTGGAACTATGGAAACTATGTACTCATGCAGGAATCTGGGCTANTCAACCCTGAGCCGGTGAGATTTGAACCGCTGACCTGCTGATCTAGCAGTAGCCTGCAGTGCTGCATTTAACCACTGCGCCACCTTGGCTCCTACAAGGAATATCGTGTTAAACCCTGACTTGTTTAACCATAGTTTATTAAGCCCCACTTAGCAGAGTTCATAGATCATGCTAAGTTGAAATAGTGACTTGCAGATATGCAGGATGCTAACAAATCACAAATAAATAAACCACTTGTGGAATCATTTAGAATTCATAATGGTTACACAGAATGAAGTCAGAATGAAATAAACCTCATTATGACTTACCATGTCCTGGAAATATGCTGAAAGTGTTAGGAATATGGAGCAATTAGCTTCTAGATTTTTGTAACAGGGATGGTGAATTCTGGAGAAAGATCTCATCATAAGATGCCAAGTATTGTGAAGAAGAGGAAAGTTAGAGATGGCATCAAATTGGCTCAGTCTCTGTGAACTCTGTGAACAAAAGCACAATTTGCTCCTAACTTTATTTAAATAAAAGTTGAAAGTGTATCTTTTATTCATCCATCTATTTCTGGCCCAATTGTGCATCCTTCTCCATAGCGTGTTGTTGTCTTCTGTCTTAATTAGCATCTTCGGTAGACATAGGTATTGCAAGGAATTGAAGTCTTATTGTAATACATCTTCTTGGCTAGAATTAATTGTCGCTTGCTGGTGGGATTATACCATCTTCAGATGGCTTCAAAATTATCTAGAAGAATTGAGAGAACTTTTGTTGAGTCTAAAGTAAGGAAGTCCTTAATTTTTTTTCTTTAAAAAAAATCACGCCTTGCAATAGCTATACCCTAAAGTTCTGTTTAGCTAGAGGAAAAACCTTTCAAATAATAGTGGCAATTCTCATCTCCTATATTTAGTCCTCTTGTTATCTTTGCAGAGTTCCAGGTCCCAGTGACAGAACCTGATATCAATAATAGGCTGGAGTCCTTGTGCCTGAGTATGACTGAACATGCCCTAGGAGGTAAAAGCTATTATTATTTTTTTCTTCTCTCTTTTATGCTGAGATTAAAATTGCATCAAGCCTTTCTGATACCGTGATCCCCAAGGCTCAGACGCCTGCTACTTGGGTAATAGGGATTTAATATTTGAAAGCTGCATATATGCAATCTCTTATTTTTGCCTTTGGCTTGGTAATCTTTGCAGTTTCAGACTTTCCTTCTCCGTGAGGCACATCAGCAGCAGGACATTACCATATTTTTTGGAGTATAAGAGGCACCACGATTTTGAAGGGGCAAATTTAAAAAAAAAAAAAACGTTTTTGCACTCTGCAGACCTCCCAAAAATGGGTCTGTTTTTTGTCCAAAAAAGGGCATGCATAGCCTTTAGGAGGCTTGTAGAGTGCTCCTGGGGGCTGGGGGTGCAAAAACAAGAAAAAAAGCCTTTTTTGCTCATTTTTGCCTTCCCCAACTCCAGAAGCACTCTCGAAGCCTCCTAAAGGCTATGCATGGCCATTTTTTCAAAGGGGGGGGGGTTTCGAGAGGCCAAAAAGGCTTTAATCAGTGTATAAGATGCACCCAGATTTTCACCCTCTTTTTTGAGGGAAAAAGATGTGTTTTATACTCCAAAAAAAAAGTGTAATTCAGTTTTAAGCCAACCCCATTAGAAGCATTAGTGCTATTTGTACTTGTTCTCTGATCTTCCCCAATAGCTCATCAGGTTGCTTCCAACCCAGGGGATCACCTGCCAGTCTAATGTTGGCTTTGTCCTAGTTGGGAATGTGTGTTTCTGGAAAAATACTAGAGTGTATTTGTCCCAAAGGTGCTTTTTCAAGAGGCAATTGGACTTTCTGGTTTTTCTTTGAAGACATTTTACTTCTCATCCAAGAAGCTTCTTGAGCTCTGACTGGATAATGGGGAATGGAAGAATTTAGATTCCTGGGTATAAATCCTTACTCCTTGGGTAAGGAGTAGAAATCCTTTCATTCCCCACCATCCAGTCAGAACTGAAGAAGCTTCTTGGATGATTAGCGAAATGTCTTCAAAGAAAAAACAGAAAGTCCAGTTGCTTCTTCAAAAAGCACTTTTGGGACAACCATGACCTGGATGCCTGAGAATCTCCATAGACAACTAGAGTGTGTTGCCACGTTCTTCTACAGTAGATGATATGGTATCTGATTCCTCATCTATCACCTAACCATTATCTATGTCTCAGGTAGGCCTGGAAGCATCCAGGTCAAGCCTTGATTATAAGAAGAGTAAAATCATGTAGAGTTAAAACAAACATTAAAAACACTCCACAGGGCATGGTAAAAAAATAATAATTAAAAAGTAGTGCATTCAAAACTCTGCCTTTTTAAAAAAATGTTACACACATAAATAAAATAGGCAGAGCTTTTATCAAACCATCATGGCCACCGTCTTCCATTTTGGACCATATCCTAGAAACAGTCCTGAAAAAATTCATTAGAAGCAACAGTTGCTAAAATCAATAAAAGCAGTGGAAGTCCAAAGAGGAGACCCCTAGAACAGTGATGGCTAACCTTTTTCCCATTGCGTGCCAAATGTGGGGGGGAGTGCAGAGGTTGTGTGCTTGACCCCCGCCCTCTCCACACTTTTGGCGCACAATGGCCCTGTTTTTTGCCCTCCCCAGACTCCAGAGGCTTTCTAGGAGCCTGGGGAGGGCAAAAACAGCACACACACACCCGGAGGCCTTCAGGAGGCTTCCCTGAAGCCTCCAGAGGGCGAAGAATGGCTGCAAAAGAAGGCCAAAGAGAGCTGATAGCGCAACGCCTCACGTGCCCTAACAAATGGCTCCGTGTGCCCTAGGTTCGTCATCACGGCCCTAGAAGATGAATGAGAATTTTAATATGTAACCAGAAAGGACATGAAGTTGATGGTTTGTATACTCACGATACAAAGTCATTCGTTCTCAGCCCAACCCACCTCACAGGAAAGAGGAAGAAGATGGTGTGTTGTATATGTTTGCCGCCTTGAGTTATTTGTAAAAATATTAAAGGCAGGATATAAATACATCATCATCATCATCATCATCATAGCTAATGAATAATTATAATAATTATAATAATTATTATTATAGCTAATGAATAATTCGCCAATAAATAATTATAGCTAATGAAGAAGTACTGGGTGAAGTTGAAATTAAACAAGGCATTTTCCAGGGCGATTCCCTTTCACCCCTACTATTTATACTCTCAATGCTACCACTGACAATCATTTTGAAGAAGATGAACTATGGATANTGGAGAAGTAAGAAAAATAAGTTGTTCCTCAAAATCAGGGTGCTATTGTAGATTAAGGAAGCTTTAGTCCAGGGCTGTTCAATCTTAAAAACTTGAAGACTTTGTACAGTTCAACTTCCAGAATTCCTTAGCCAGCCATGGTACTGTGGAATTCTAGGAATTGAAGTCCACAGATCTTCAAGTTGCCAAGATTGGACAACCCTGCTTGAGTCCATGTGTGTCTGGAGAGCACCACGTTAAGGAAATCTGGTCAAAATATGTAACAAATTTGAAGTGTTTATTTATTCCTTTGCTGAATATAGAAAACAGAGGTTATCTGATTATTAAAATATATTATTTTGGATAGACATGTGACTTATAACTTGCTGTGGCTGGTGCCCATGTAAAATTCTGGTGTTAATGACCATATACATTTTTTTCTTCTATTTTCCCCCTTTGGAAAAGAGAACTTATTTTCCATGAACACTGTGTGTAGGTACATTGCTAGTATGAGCATGTTTTTTGTATCTTGTGTAATGAACAGAGGCTTCAGAAACATGATAGAAGCCATCATCCCTTCCTCTTAAATCCTGTATTGAGTGCAGGTAGAAAACACAGATTTAAAAAAAAAAAACCTCAACTATCCAAAATAAAATTAAATGTATTTATAAAAAAAAATAGTTGCATGCTGAAGGCCATGGAAGTCAAATGTTTAGTATTTTTTTAAAAAGTGGCAGTGCCTTTCGTTTTTGTATTTACCATTTATTGCTCAATGCAACTGTTTTATAATAAGCAATTATATGATAGTTTCAGAAAATGCAAACTATTTCATTACATAGAAATGTGTGTTCTATTTTTTTCCTTGTTCTCATTACAAGAGTGTGTAAGCTGGATACCTCTGCCTGCTCTGCCAGAGATAACTTTTACTATGCGGTTATCATGTATGAAATTTATATTGGTGCTTCTCTTTCTAGTGATTTATGACCATTGTTGAATGGGGAAAAACGAATTTATGTAACATAATTTAGGGTGTTGAGGGTAAGGGAATGAATTCTAGTTTTTATGCTGCTTTGAAATTTATTTGAGGGATACTAGTTGACAAGAGGAAAAATCTGGTAATGCAGTGGGTGAAGCATTTTCCTACTTACTCTCTGCACTGTGATAACTTTCTGTACTGCAACCCAAAGCAGTTCAGCATTTTGAAGGGTCTTGGCTATGATTCACAACAGAGAAATATACTGTAGGCCAGAAGTCTTCAAACTTGGCAACTTTAAGACTTGTGGACTTCAACTCCCAGAATTCTCCAGCCAGCGCTGGAGAATTCTGGCTGGAGAATTCTGGGAGTTGAAGTCCACAAATCTTAAAGTTGCCAAATATGGGGACTCCTGCTGTAGGCCTTAGTACTTGTCCTACGGCTAATTATTACATTTAGAAAAGAGCCTGATAATATGCTGATGGGAGGTAATTGCCCATTTGACATGCTGCTTTGTCAACAATCAGCATGTACTCATTCTCATGATCATTGTTAAATTCCCAATTATTGAAGCCCCATGTGAATTAGCCAGGATAACATTTTAGGCCTTTCCAACTCAGCACCCAAAATATCTAGTCACTCATTATTATTTAATGGGATTTAAAGATCAGTCATCAACATTCAATTTTGGCTGTTTGGATAATAAACACACTTTATTGAGGCTAGTAGCTTGGTTTAAAAAGGAATGTATTTCTGTTTTGTAGCATGTAATTCCAAATGTTATCTCTAATTTAGTGTTTCTCAACCTTGGCAACTTAAAGATGTGCTGACTTCAACTCTGTTAGCTATGCTGGGAGTTGAAGTCCAAACATCTTCAAGTTGCCAAGGTTGAGAAACATTGATGTAATCTAATGGCTCTTTAAAGCACATAAAGGCTTTGGAGCCTCACACAAGAAGAGATTTGTGGGCGTCCACATAGAGCTCCATAAACAAACAGCTTATTGAGACCATCATGTTTGTGCTGGAATCCTATAGAGAGTAGGATTAATTGGAGGAGTTAGCATTCAGTAAGGCAAATGTCCCATCCATAGATAACAAGACCCTGTGTTCATTTTGTGTGGTAGACTCAGAGGCATCTGCAAGTGTCTGTCACCAGGGGACGGGTAATATAAGCAACATTGTCCCAATGGAAGCTCCACTTCTTTGGTAGATGCCTTGTGAAGTTGCATGCATGTAAGAAAGGGGTAGAGCTTACCTTGAGCTGCTGCTTTTGTCCCGCTGATTTTTAATCTTGCAAATTACTCTGGACAAGCTTGGGTATTCAGACTCAAGAAAATTACAACCCCCCCCCCCTGCCATTAGGCAGCCTCTTTATATTCTCTCTAGACATTGAGCTTTGGCAGTGCCTTTTCCTCTTGTCTAAGATGAGGCGAAGAAATAAAAATATCAAAGAAAAACAAATCTTTCTTTGTGCCGTTTGCTGCTCCTTTTGGGCAACTGGAACCTTTTCCAGTTTGAAACCAAGATTCAACCCTATTTTCCTTGTCTTTTCTTGGGAGCAGGCAGAAGAATGTTTCTTGCTGACCAGCTCTATTCCCTGAACAAAGAAATGTTTTGATGGGAGACATACAACTTTGTAGGTGTTTCCTTGTCTGTGGCTGCAGAATTATGCTCTGATTTAGCCCTAGAACCCAGGGCCCACCCAGGGTCAGGTTTCTTCTCCTGGGTTTCAGCCAGCTAAACTAGAAGTTCTGAATGTTCTTGTTTCCCCTTTCTCATCTCACTTGGGAACACACAAAATGGGACCTAAGGACACGTATCCTGTCTCATTAGGTGTTGGTTTCAGGGGTGTTGCATCCTCTGTTTTCACGAAACGAGATGGAGAAGAGAAACAAAGAGATGTTCAGAAGAGTAGCAGGTCCACCTTTCTTGTAGCATGTAGTGAATACAGTTCCCTTCCTGCCCCTCCCATCAAGGGTTTTCTGGATGTGCCTGATTCTAAAAAGTAGAAAGAGTAGATCTTGTAGAAAGTATAATTTGCACACAGCTATGATAACACTAAAGTTGATTTTATACAAGTCATCAAAGTTTGCAAAGTGAGTTTTATTTTTTGTATTCCTTTAATCTTTACTTAAAAGGTGAATGTGTATTCCTCTGGGAGGAATTGCAAGAAAACAGGAATGTTAATAAATGTTTAAAAATAAAACAGAATACTTCCTCCCTTATTAATATATAACCCTTATGTATTTATGCCTACTGTAAGCAAATGAAACAGCTTGGATTTCCATTTTGTTGCATGCCTGCTATCGGCAAAAATGAAAAAAAGAGCCTTCTATTGTACATGCATGCATTTTAGTCTTGATCTCTTTCTTTCTGTTTTATTTTATTTTATTTTGGTTAGGGGGAAGCGTGTATTTCCCCTGCATAAAGTTAGTGCACAAAGAAATATTTTTGCCTAGTTAATGTTGCCAAGCAATGCATATTTTTAAAAGAAATTTGTCATATATGGAAATAGCATGTTTGTTTACATGTATCAGCTTCCTGATTAATCAGAAGAAGAAGGAGGGGCAGGGAAAAAGTCTAATGTTTGGGGAATGCTGTAATTTCTTTGCAAGTGTACAGTTTTCAATTTGTTGTTATTACTGGTGAAACACCCTTGTGATTTCAACTTGCTACAATATATATTTATTACTCGTTCTCCTTCCATGTAACTAGGAATCATGCCTATGTTTCATATCAACGTTATATTGAAAGTGAAGGGAGATGATTAATACAAGATTTTGTAACATTGGGGAGTGTTGCCTCTTTATTTGGTGTGTTTGGATCAAGGAGAACTCTTTTTCCTCTGAAAGGAGAGAAAAACAGGCCATCTTAACTGTGAATTAATTTCAGCAATGACTAATTCAGCATTCTGCAATGTTGCAGAGCAGGATTGAATTGACGGGGTAAATATTTTTTAAAAAAATTGCTCAAGACCTCCTTTACCCGTGACCCGTCAAAACCGTGGAGGTCAAAATCGCGCTCGACGAAAGCGCGCATTTGACGTCATCACAGCGCGACGAAAAAAAATTAAAAATTGAAATAAAATTAAAATTAAAGCAAGCCGATTCACATAAAGGTAAGGGTTAGGTTAAGGGTTAGGGTTAGGTTTAGAGCGTTAGGGTTACGTTTAGCGTTAGGTTAAGGGTTAGCGTTAGGTTAAGGGTTACGTTTAGGGTTAGATTTAGGGTTAGGGTTAGGGTTAGGTTTGGGGGGGTTAGGGTAAGGTTTTCCCTTTATTTTTACATTTTTCGATCACAGCGCGATGTTTTCGTCGCGCTGTGATGACGTCAAATGCGCGCTTTCGTCGAGCGTGATTTTGTCCTCCGCGGTTTTGTGGTGGAACCCCTTTACCAACCTACCCCCAGCATTCTGTATAAAACAAGAGTTTACGAGGGCATTTCTGGACCTTATTTCAGTTTCTTGGGCAGCTAATGGCACACAGGCATGTGTGGCTCCATTCACACATTGCCTTGTTTCTCAATCTCAGCAACTTTAAGATATTCTGACATCAGAGGGGGTATTCAGCAGGTTCTGACCAGTTCTGGAGAACCGGTAGCAGAAATTTTGAGTAGTTCAGAGAGCTGGTAAATACCACCTCTGATTGGCCCCGTCTCCATCTATTCTCTGCTTCCCAAGTCCCAGCTGATCAGGAGGAAATGGGGATTTTGCAGTATCCTTCCCCTGCCATGCCCATAGAACCGGTAGTAAAAAAAAATT